TATTCAGACCACCTTGAACACTGATGCATTTCTAATATTATGAAAATTAGTCTGAGAAAGAGCTCCTAGGACATATCTTATAATAGTTACAACAGAGATTTCATAATTAAAGCTGGAAGATCTTTTCCATTTCAAATCTGGTTTTGATCTTCCAAAAAGATAAAGAATGTAAAATGTTGATCAGGAAGACACCATACCATCCATATATTTCCCATTTGTACTTCAGACCACTGCAATGTAGAAAATGTTTTGAATGTGTGAAGTTGCAGACAGAATTAAAAAAAAAAACAAAACCTTTGAGAAACAGTCTTATTATCCTAACTTTAAAAAACAGTCTATAGTGTTATATATATTTTGAAATGTCAGTTTTCTAATACAAGGGTTACTAATCTGATATACTGGGTTGCAGGGATGGCTTTTAGACAGATGGAAGGAAGTAAGTTTAATTCTATAGAAATGTGTTCTGAATGGGACAATTTTATGGGCTGTGTGAAGGTCTTAAGCCCTTTCTCCTTAATATTAGTTTTGGTAATTAAAACTGCCTAGCCCTTTCCTCAAAAACACAGTTATTTTTTTGTTGAGTAGTATGAAAATATAAGGATAAAGGAGAGAATTTGGAAAAAATATACTTGAGAAAAAGTTTATAAAACTTCCCAGAACTTTTTGAAATATCATTTCAAATAGTTGCTCATTGAGCTTATGAGGCCAGGGCCAGCTTGAAGCACAGATGGCTTGAATAACTTGCTATTCTTCCACCACCTGACCCAGATGTGCTGTCAGGTACTATGTACTTGTCCTTTACAATAGGGAAGGGCGAGAAGGAGGGGTTATGTGGAGTGAAGAAAAGAAGGTGCTGCAGACAGACCTACCTAGGAAAGAAGGAGCAAGATGTGCTTCCCTTAGCAACTGCCCCATTCCTCTGTCCCAAATTAATTTCTTGACCTAGACATCTCATGAATTAGAAAAACACACAAAGACAATTAAGTGTATATTGAGTAGAAAGTGGGACTGCAGGTAACATAAAACTGGACATTGGCTTTCGTTTTTTCCCTGCTTCCATTTGTTCTGCAAGTGTATACATTTTTCAAACCTAAGAGATACAATTTTGGCAAACAGGACCATGACATACACTGATGTTTTGTGTGTGTTAGGAATGTATCCAAAAGGTTTTAGGTATGGCTATGACAGCAACAAACAAACAGACAGACTTCCATGACATGGGATTTGAATGTGCTGTGGAAGTTGTAGAGTCTTTCATGGTATCGAGACTGCAGAAACAAAAAATAGCCCCAATAAACACAACTAAAAAGGCAACCTTACATTTTATACATGCTTTGAACTGGGAGGGCTACTGACTGGAACAACCTACATTGCATTGAAGTTTTGAAAGCAATCATACACACCACGTATTTCCACCTGATAAAAGCAAAGTTCACCTTTCATGTTTTACAGACTAATAAGAGACCATGTTATTCAGTAACCGAGAATGCATATTTTAAATACAACACTGCCAGTGCAAACCTAAAGTAACTATATTCTCATGGTAAACTGGAAGCACAGAAGGTAAGTACCAACGGAAAAAAATACTTATTTTTCAAAGACGGGGAAATGAAATGTAATTATTTAGAATCAGTTGCTACCTGAATCAGAAATTACATGTTTTATGGAGAGGAACAGCACTGCTAACATCTTCATCTTTTGTACTACCAAGTTTCAAAGGTATGATTCTATATTTAGATGTAAACAATGGCTCACTGGACTCAATAGATCAAAATTCTTCAAATACCGGATTCTACAAAATTGAAAATGAGCCCTCACTCCTGATAACCCCACCACACACTCTTTGTTTTCACGCAGGCTGAAATCAAAATACTGCATGATGCTGTAATTTCAGTAATTGTACTGAGTTAAAGTTCTGTTACGAAACTGCACCAGTTTGTGAGAAAAATAAAAGGTAGTCTGATTAAACACAATCTAGTAGTCACCTGCTGAGCACCTGTACTGGCTGGGCAAAATAGTATGAACGCTGATGCATTAGCTAGCTAAGAAATTCTTTGTTAGTGGCAGTATCCTTTGAAAATGAGAAAAAACAGCAGCCAGAAAGGAATCATTAGGTTTGTGCAATCTCCAAGTACTAAAAAATTATCCAGAAAGGATGGAAAAGTGAATTAAAGAGAGAAATACTTTCCCCAGCTGTTTTGTGGACCAAACCCAACACTTTTAACGTGTTTAATAGTTAAAAAAGTCTTGCTAGCAAAAAAAAGTTGAAAAAACTCCATCCCTTGAGGAAAGCACCTTGAATAGATGAAATGCGTGCAGCAATCCTAGATACCTCTTAAGCTGCACTCCCATTTTCACCACTTTTGAAAATGTTGGTTACTCATTTAGAGTTGTCAATCCAGTGTCCTTATCTTTTGTTATCTTACGTGTCCCAGATAAAAGACAAAGGTTTTGAACTGGAGTGAATCTCCATTTTTATTAGTGATATGCTGGAGAAGCAGAAGTAAGTGCAAATTACTAAATAGTACAGAATCAAAAGCAGAAAGAGTAAAACTTTTTTTCCTTCTAATACGTAGCTATACTATTTGGATGGAGTCATTATTTGGTATTACTTCTCCTTCCCCCACTACTGTGGAACATAAAAAACTATTTGAAATGCAGGTCCAGCAGGTGTGGGATTCCAGTTAGTGCATAAAACTATGTGACAACAGAAGTTGCTGGGGTGAGCGTCAGAGACATCTGGTGGTTAAAAGAACTGCCAGATGCTATGCAAAAGGTAAATTTACACAGGTGGCTCATATGGGTAGTTTCCATGCCATTGTCTTGGCAGGTTTAGTGCTGACATTTTTATTGTAGCATGGATACCCTTGAATGATCTTGCTTTCATACCCCTGAATGATCGCTACTGCTGCCAGTGTCACCTCCACCTTTATTAATGTGACCCTGCTTTTAATGAGTGACATCCTTCTATATACACACTGAGCTCTGTACTTGCTTGCCTTTTTTCCTTTTTTTTTTTTTTTTTTTTTTTTTTTAAACTGGACAAGGCTGTTTGCTTTACGGCTTTCTAGAAACTTCTAGGCCTTGCACAGAATATACTTTGAGTTCAAACTACCTTCACAGGTAGGATTTCCTAAGCTTTTCTCCTCCTCCCCTTTGCGTCGTTTCCTTCTTTCTACATTTTTTGACATTTTTATGAGTGCAGAATTCTCAGTGATTTTAACCAGAGTCTGAATCTGGCAATAAGTTAACAGCTCAAGCAGCTTTCTAATACCTGTAAGTGTTGCATCTTCACTGCATGTCATTCAGTGAGCTTTTCAAATGACTTCTCATTAGCTGTAACTTCAAATATTTTGTAATGCTTATTTCCTTTCAGAAATCTATTTTTTCCTGTGACTGTTGAGCTTCCTGTCCTACTGTTGGCATAGTTTTGCTCAACTGTATTTATCTTGTTCTTTCACTTTGTGGGTTTAGAAAACAAATCTGCTCCCCAAACATTTCTCCAATAATCATCATTATCAAATTAGTTCTACAGTAATTGTCTCCCTGTTACTTTATACAAAGGTGCACATGCACATATGTGTACATACACACACACATACTTGTGTAAAAACAGTCTCTTTGACAAACCAGCAGCAGGACCTATAATAATCAGCAAGAGCAGCTCCATCCAGTATATAATGAAAATGTAGGAAAACACCAAAGCCCCCAATCCCAAACAGATAATGTTTGTTTTACAGGGGTTCATTGTTACCAGTTCAGTGTGATTTAACAATTCTGAGATAACAACGCTAATGAGTGATTAAAAAAGGAATGTAACAATTCAGTTTTCATGAAGAATATACTTTATTTCTGAAAACAAATACATTAAGTTTTAAAAGTGAACTTCAAAATTATTTTACAAGAGATGTTAAACCACATTTTTCTATTCTGGTTCATTAATCAGTTTCACAGAGAGGAAAATTTACCTCCTTAGTTGTGAAAATTCAAATTCCCAGTCATTCATATTTTAGTCCTTGAAACTGTGGGGAGATATTCCAGGTTGCACAATGGAACTGAAATAAAACCCTAGCTGATCAATTTTATAACATGCTGTGTGATTAGTATGACCTCTTGTGTCAAACACAGGAATATTAATTTTTTACTTGCATAATGCAAGTACATGAAATGTCTGAAAGCTGGTAACAGCTCTCCTCTTGCCATTTCTACTAATCAACAGGTTAGCAGCAGTAGAGGGGTTTGTAGGTTTTATATATGAATTAGAAAAATAAACACCATCATTTCCCCATATAGAATACAGCTACCATATATTTTGGTCAACTGACACTTTTTCTTTTTTTTTTTTTCCAAATTAAGATTAAACTGCAGGACAAAGCCTCAGTGACTTCTAAATAAAATATGAAGGTTTACCATTTTCTTAATAAGCCTTCATGGTAAACTACGTCCTGAGGACTTCTGTTAAGGAGAACACTTAAAAGGTTTAAGCAAACATTAAGGACACGGCATGAATAGAAAAGGGATGACGAAACCTTGTCTTATCTAGATCTTTAACTAGTCCACAAAAAATCTATTTTAACAGCACTCTTGTGCAGGACTTTTATTTACAGAGTGATAAAAGCCCAGGTTCCTTGAGATTCTCATTTTTGAAGATCCATTTGATATGTATGTGTTTGAAAACACAGGCAAGATAGAAACAGTGAGATGGCATTATAGCAACTACTTTTTTTTTTTCAAACAAAAAATGGAATATCTGAAGCTGTGTCAAACATCCTGTTCATTATTAAAAATGTCTTCTTCTGTCTTTGATGCTCAGGGGAACTGAGTGCAATGGAGAGCATCCAAATACACTTCAATGTAATTTAAAAACAGACTGAAGTACTTGGAAAGTGCTTTATCATTCACTCAGGAACGTGTGTGTGGCTTTTCATTCACAACTTGGCTGTATTGGCCACTCTAAACAATCTGTATTATCTATATAATCTATCAACCATGACACTATGTTAGGGAGGGTTGTTTGTGTGTGTGCTGTATGTGCTTTATTTAAAGGTACACTTTGGAATAAAATAGTGGAATTTTATAGCTGAGTATATTTTAAAACTCTTCTTAATGCCTCACCCATATTTCTAATCTGCAAGCCACTCAAGGGTGTAGAGCTTCAGAGGAAACTGGATGCTGTGTTAGACATGGAAATTTTAAGGGCATAAGCTGTTACCCTAGAAGGGCTTGGTGAGGTTTGTCTATAACATTAGCAAGAAGCTGAAGATGTAAAGAAACCTTCCACATTATCAAATTTCCCAGTTGATTTTTCAAGCTGCTTGAACAGTGCTGGAGAACTGGAGGAAAAAAAACCAAAAAAAAAAAAAAAAACCAACAAAAAACAAACCCAAAACAAAGCCAACAAAACCGAACAAACCGAAACCCTCCAACAAAACCAAACCTCCTACAGTATCACCTAGGGGACAGGAATGGCACACATTTAACAAGGTAAGTCACTTACCTCGTTCACGATTGCTCCCGTAAAGAACCTTTCTTTAAGTAAATGCAGAGACTGCCTGGTGGCAGACATCATTCTGCCAGAGGGAGCTGCGGGAATGAATTATTTGGTGACAGCTGGGAGCGGAAGGGGAAGAGACAGAACGGTAGCTGGCGACCAGGGCAAGGACTACACTGTTGCGGGGGGGGAAGGCTGGGGGTGCGAGGCAGCCACTCAGGGACACCGACCCTGTTCCACGGTGAAGCTCCAGCCGGAGCGGGGCTCCCGGGTGGCGGCCGGCAGGTAGGGGCAGCCCCCGGCCCTCCCGCTCCCGGTGACAGGCGGAGACGTGCCGGGGCGGGCTCTCCGCTACCCAGACCCACGGCAGCCCGCGGGGACACTGCCTCTCCCGGCTTGCTTCTGCAGCCCGCGGCAGGCGGCGGACCGGAGCGAGCGCAGCTCTGTGTTTTGCAGGGCGGCGGAGGCGGAAACAGGCGGAAGGCGCTGCTGGACAGCTCCGGAGCGCGGCGCCCATGTTCCGAAGACGGTGCAGATGTGAGGAGCGGGGAGCTGGGGAGCGCCGCAGCGGAGGCCCCTTCCCGGCGGGGGGACCCCCGGGAGGCCCAGGGCTTCCGCGGCGGGCGGGGTGGGGCGGGAGCAAGGGCCAAAGGCAGCCTTTACCTGCGGGCGCGGAGCGCCCAAGGAGGCGGGCTCCCCCCGCCGTGCGGGGCGGCGGGGGGACCCTGCGGAGCCCCCACCGCCTTACGCCGTGGCTGGTCCACCCCCATCAGGTGACGTGATGCCCCTTGTTTTGGTTCGCCCGACCAATGGAACGCAGCGGCTGGATCCTACGGGTGCCGGGATGGGCCCTTCGTGGCGGCAGCAGGACTCTCCCCTGCCGACCATAACGCATTGCGCAGCGTGCACCACCGCCCGGTCCTCCTGCGGCTTTAACGGCACCGGCATGGACCCGCCGCCCCAGTTTCCGGCGGGCTTTGGCCCAGAGCAGCAGCGTCCGCCGCATTGTCAGCAGCAGCACGGCCAGGACAAGCAGAGCCTCCTCCAGCAGCAGCAGCAGCAGCAGAGCCCATGCCTCCAGTGCAACAACTGCGCCTACTATGGGGCTGCTGCGGCAGCCGCGGGGGATAACCTGCCCCTGCTGCTCCGCACCATCTCGCCCCACTCGGGCACGTTCCGGACTCATTCCTCACCGCTGTCTTCCGCTGCCTCCTCTCGGCAGGGCAGCCAGCTGAACGTCAGCGAGTTCACTTCCTCCAGCCATGCCGGCGCGTCCAGGCAGCACCACCAGTACGCCCAGTACCACCAGTGCCACAGCCTGCAGCAGCAGCAGGCAGCGAGCCCCAGCAGCAGTATCAGCAGCGGCAGCACCCACCACTACCATCACCACCATCATCACCACCACCACCACCAGCGCAGGGAGAGCAACCCATTCACTGAAATAGCCATGAGCAGCTGCAGGTACAACGGCGGCGTCATGCGGCCGCTCAGCAACCTGAGCTCGTCCCGTAGGAACCTACAAGAGCTGAACTCCGAGTCGCAGCCGCTCCAGCAGCCGCTCGCCAGTCCCTCTGCCGCCGCCACCGCGGGCACCCCCACTGCTCCGGAGATCGTGGTCTCCAAGCCCGAGCACAACAACTCCAACAACCTGGCGCTCTACGGCTCCGCCGGCCCTGGTCCCGGCCCCGGCCCGGGCAGCGCCAACAACAGCGGGGGCAAGTCCAGCAAGAAGAAGAACCAGAACATCGGGTACAAGCTGGGGCACCGCCGGGCGCTCTTCGAGAAGCGCAAGCGCCTCAGCGACTACGCGCTCATTTTCGGCATGTTCGGCATCGTCGTCATGGTCATTGAGACTGAGCTCTCCTGGGGCGCCTACACCAAGGTACCGGCAGCCGCTCCGACGGCCCAGCGGAGAGGCGGCCCCGGCCCCTTACAGAGGCCAGCGCGGCGGGGCTGCCTGTTCCCCGCCCCAGCCACGTCCCGAGGCGCTCTACCCCACGGCACAGATGGGGTGGCCCGGGCCCCGTCATCGGGGTGGCGTCGGGCGGGAGCGGCCCCTTGTCGCTGAGGGATGGTGGTGTCTTTCTATTGCAGGAGTCGCTGTATTCCCTTGCTCTGAAATGCCTTATTAGCCTGTCCACGATTATCCTGCTCGGGCTCATCATCGTGTACCATGCAAGGGAAATACAGGTAATGTTTCCTTCTGTGGGTCAGTGACCGTTGTTGACGTAGCTGGAGGGAGGGGGGTGAGTAGTTTTCTCGGAGGACATAGTGGTGGTAAGTACTTGGCGCTTCCTGACGATTCAGAAAGCAAAAAGTTATCTGTACGTGCCTGCCGCTGGTGAACGGACCTCCGGCTCCAGGAAGAAATGCAGTGGGAATGTATGTGCTAGGAAGCTCTGCTTGCTAGGGGCTGTTGCCAGTGGTTATGTTATAGGATTGCTTAGCTCTGAGGTTGTAACACACTTGGTGACATGCCTTCCATCTTCTGTAGGAGACGTACAGCAACAGTCTTTTATTTCTCAATGATTAAATTTCATTCTATGGGTTTTCTCTTGATAGCAAGGTTGTTTTCACTGTGCGAGGTATGTAATCTTAACTGGATTGTCTCAGACACGAGTGTACTCTAGGAGAATGTTTAAGAGGAGGGGGAAGAAATAAAAAATCACAGAATAATAGAACTGTTTAGGTTGAAGAAGACCTCTAAGGTAGACTCCAACTGTTAACCTATTGCCAAGTGCACTACTAAACTGTGTCCTTAAGTGCCACATCTACATGTCTTTTAAATAGCTCCAGGATTGTGTTTTATATAGTGCTGCACAGCTGCTAAGATTGAGACGGAAGAAAACTGCCAAGAAAGGTAGGGCTACAGGTAGAAGGAATGTAATGATCGAAGATATAAGTCACAAATACTCTCACAGGATCTCTTCAAGGGACTTAGCTCTGACTTTAGTTGTTGGTGTTTTTTGGGTTTTTTTTTACCAAGAAATAAATATTTGGCATTTCAGCTAAACTGAAACATACAACAGATTTCAAAGTTTTGAGGGGGAAAATATCTTACGTGTAGCTACATCAATGCTTTTGATTTTTCAGCTTCTTTAACTGAAAAATATGTTGAGCTGCAAGTGAAAGCAACAGCTTTCAAGGGCATAGAAGACTTTTCCTTTCCACTGGTACCAATCAGTTAAAAAAAGGCTAAAGTAAGAATTGCATAGTACCCTGCTTCTGTGCAAATGAATACTGTAGTTTCAATGTGAAATGGTACCGTAGCCGCCTACTTAGGGTAATGTTAGAGAAGTATTATCTTACTGAAGACTCTTTGCAAAATTGGATCCTATTAGGCAGTCCTTGCACATGCAAAACTTCTATTCCTGGCTTAGAACCCAGTTTCTCTGCAGTAAGAAATACAAAAGATACTGAATGCTGTTTAATGATATTGTACTCAATAAACAAGTGTTCTGGTGAAAGAGCATCTCTATAAACTCATGGATTACTTAATGAAGAGGTTTTTTTATCTGTATAAAATAAGTGGCGCTGCTGCAGTGTGGGAGCTGCCTTCTCTGGGGTATCTTCCCATAAGTGGTGCTTGAGGCATGAAGAGCAAAGCTGGGAAAAAAACCTCTCTGTAAACATTTGAATTATTTTCCAGAAACTTTAAATAGAAAATTTTATGCAAGATAACCAACTAGTTGTAGGTCCCTGTATGCATCAGCTTATAATGGTTACTCCAAGATTTGTTTGTTGGTTGTTTCGTTGTTTTTCTTTTTTCAGGTAAAGAGTTACAAATTTTTAATTCCCTTAGGAGTGTATTACAAATCAGAAAAAAAAAATCTTAAAGTTATAATTCCGTTTTGGTTGGTTTTTTTAATTGATTGTTTTAAAGAATTTTCTCCTCTATGTGGTTACATGGAGGGAATTATGAAACCATGTGACTTAATCAAGTTTAATGTAGTTGTCAGTGCTGCCTGACAGAACTGCCTGTAAAACAGCAATACTCTGTTTTAATCTGAGAGACATTGAAAATTGCAGTAGTCATGGTAGGGCTAGGAGTGAGCTGCAGTTTTAAGGAGCTTTATCATTCATGTTGAAAAGGAAGTTCTCTTTTTCAAGGGCCTTGCTAGATGGAGAGGGCATAGTACCATCCTTAGCTACTGGATATCTGATAGTTTTTTAATTTAGGTGTAGTCTGGTTTTGTTGAGGCTCTTTACTTTTAAAAATAAGATGAAGAATGTGCAGAGCAAAATTTACATCTATCTGAGGTGGTAAATTCATGTTACACTTGACATCTGAAAACAAGAAGTACCTTAAAAATACTTTGGCTTAGGAATGTACAGTGTCTTCCCCAGGCACAAGAAAACACTGTGTAACCCTGATAATGTAATGGTTTTGAAATAATCTTTAAAGCTGACAGTTTTCTGAAGCCACACATGCCTTTAATTCAAGTATCCTGCTGCGTGTAGCAGAGTGAATCACTTCTGTAGAATCATGCCCACAGATGTTTGGTGTGTCCTGTGTTTGTACTAGGTATTTGTCAACCCTGTTCAAGTTTGAACATTCCTTTCTAATTCTTGTCTGAAGCATACTTCGACTTAAACAATGGGTGTAATTAAGCAGGAATTCACTGAGAGAAGAAAAAATGCTTTATAGAATAGAAGAAGGTCAATGTAATATTCTTGCAGTGTGGTATCTTTCATACTGTAGTAGAAGCAAACCAACCTAAACATAAGTAAATTTTTTAACAAAGCATGAGACAAAACATGTTGAGACATAAAAAGCTGACAGTTTAGTAATTATCAGCAATCGCAGGCTTAATATTTAGAAACTTCTGATGAGCTAAAATGCTGGCGAATTGAAATAATCTTTCTCATTCTTTTCAGTAGTCTGTGACCTTGTTTTATTGGTAGGAAATCCAAACAGTCATGCTGCAAGCAAGTCAGTGGGGCATTGCCTGGCAGCATAGCAGGTGATTCTAGTCAATAATACATCGAGGTGAGAGGAGTGCGTTTTCATTTTCAGCCTCTTTCCCTGATTGGGCGGTGATTGGTAGGTGGTGGCAGAGCTGGAGCACGTTCAGTTTCTCCGGGGCACGGGTGGTTTCTGCTGTCATATTTTCAGCACCGCAGACAGCGCCGTGCGCGGCGCCCTGGGGCGGATTGGCGGGATCCGGACTGAATTGGATCGGACTGGATTTCACTAGACTGGACTGGATTGGACCTGCCCGGCACAGGCTAGCCACCCTGCCACACGCGCATCCGTCTTCCCGTGCTTTCAGTCTCGCTTGCAAAGCTATGTGGATTTTTGTTTTGAGTTCCTTGGAACTTGCCCAGAGCTTTGCATCTGCTAGACCAGGGTCCCCAGGAGGGTGTAGCTGCAGTATTTAGACAAGGACAGCCGTATGGATGCTGTGATACTGGAAACACTGAAGTATTTCTATCAAATATGGTTTCAGTGATCACATTGTATTAGTTATTATATTTAATATTCTGCATAATGTGGACCTGCTTGAGTGGGTCCAGAGGAGGACCATGAAGATAATCAAAGGGCTGGAGCACCTCTCCTATGAAGGCAGGCTGAGAGAGTTGGGCTCATTCAGCCTGGAGAAAAGAAGGCTCTAGGTAGACCTTAGAGCAGCTTCCAGAGCTTAAAGGGCCTGTCAACAAGTCTGGAGAGGGACTTTTTACAAGAGCATGTAGTGACAGGACAAGGGGGCTTTAAACAGAAGGGAAATTTATGTTAAATATAAGGAAGAAGTTCTTCACAGTGACGGTGGTGAGGCACTGACACAGGTTGCCCAGAGAAGCTGTGGCTGCCCCATCCCTGGCAGTGTTGAAGGCCAGAGCTTTAAGCAACCTGGTCTAGTGTGAGGTGGCCCTTGCCCATGGCAGGGGGTTGGAATTACATGATCTTTAAGGTCCGTCCCTTCCAACCCAAAGATATTATATGATTCTATAAGAATAAAGTGTGAGCTGTAATTAAAGTTAGTAGATGTGAGTAGATGTGAGTTAGTGTTAAGACTGTAATAAAAGTCAGGTGAAACCAACTGGGTTTAAATGATAATTTATAGGTTACATTACCATTTTCATAAAAGAAGATAAAGATTACAAGCAGATTTTCTTCATATCCCTCCTTCTTCTTGAAAGAACTCCTAATGAAAAACAGTAATGATGTTGGAGCTGAGAATAGCACAACCCCAAATCTGTGTGCTCTCTTTTTGGTCCATTGTTACCATACCTCTAATGCTGTTAAAGTCATCATGCTAGGGAGATACTCAAATAGGCATTGCTCTGTCTCCAGGCTTGTGTGGTTGTTGATTCAGTTCTTTAGAGTAAGTGCCCTGTGTTTGGAAGATCAATGGGAAAAATGTGATTCATCGTTATCCCAGCCCAGAACAGGTATTTCCCTGACTGTCACTCCAGTTGAGAGTTTGAAGAGATGGTGGATAAAAAGCTAAGAGGGTGGTGTGATCCAATTATCATAATAATTTTTTATGTATAAATTATCCACTTCATGCATAAACAGTTTGTTACTTAATACTATATTACATAATTAAAGCAGCAGTGTGGAATATTGTTAAAATGGTAGTTCCTAGAGAATTTGTTGTCCATTCCATATGTGTTTAGTGGAATTTGCTGTTAGATCAATAAATACAGTGGTATTTAAGAAAGTTTTGGGTGGCAGTTCACATGATAAAGTTGCAGTCCTACTTTTATTGAAAAATACACCTCTCTGCCTCTCTCTAGCACTGCTGGAGCTAGAAATGCTTTTTAAGTACAAATTGTATTGGCATTTTTGTGTGTTGCTCAGAGCAAAAAGTTAAAAGTTGATTCTTTGAGATTGCCAGTAGGAGGTCTTTAATGTCTTTTGTTGAGCATTCCACTGCAGTCTGGTAGTTCTTGAGAGATGTGGTTACTGGAGAAATATACCCATTGGAACACTTTTCCTTTGATGCTGGACCACTTACTATATCCCTTCTGTAACTAAACATTGCTCTTCTGCTGCCTTTCCTGAATAATAGTAATTTAAATCCTGAGTAATGCTAACCTGTGCTCTCTGGGACAGAATCTGAACCTCTTTTTCTTCTCCCTGATAAGATGCTTGCACTCATGGAGAAGCACTCATGAAAGCAGTTGGTACTTGGTAGAAGTTAATAGTATTTTTTCTTCTGTGTGTCAGTTGAGATTTCTAACCA